CAGCTCACCATGTTTACCTGGAATATTTGTCCAGTGTGCAATTAATGTAAGTACTTTTTAAATTATTGATTAATTAAAAAATATATAATAAATTTTTCTATGATGCAAGAGTTGCCGCACCACCTGACCAAGCTTCCAAGGATTCATCGTCTGGCTCTTCTTCCGCATCAAAGATCATCCATATGGACCATCTTATTGTCCACATCCGTCATAAATTTAAAAATGTACATATTGTATATATACATATATATTTCTGTATATTGTTTATATTATATTTTATATTGTAATTTTTATATTTTATGTTGTAATTTTTATATTTTATATTATATATTTTATATTTATACGCATACATATACACACATATATACACACACAAATGTAAATTTACACATATTTTATAGATTAAAAATATTTTATATAAAACCTGTTATTTATTTTAGATTAAAATGTCTTCTTTATCTCTTGTTCCCTCTTAAATTATAAGTCAATAAGTAAATATATAAAAAAATTATTAAAAATTATTATAAATTATTTTAAAAACTCCGAGATGAATATCTCGCGTAATCATTTTTCTCTCGCATCATCTTGTCGCTCCTCTTTCCCTCTCTTTGCGCTCTCCTGTGAACGCCCCGCGTTACCTTTCAACTGCGTCTTGCATTATCTCACGCGCTATCTCTTTCTCTCTCACGTCATCTCTCGCGTGCGTCTCTCTCGCTGTGCTCTCTCGTTGATGCTCTCTTCGCTTCCCCTTCCTCGCGGATTTCTCGCGGATCCCCCTCCCCGCGGACACTAACCTCGCGGATTTCCCTTCCCGCAGACTACTTGCGGATCCTCCTCCCCGCGGACCTCACGGATCTCCTTCTCCGCGTGACGTCATTCCCCCGCGCCGCAGGTCCCCCTCGCCCCGCACCCCCCCCCTCCTCAGAGGACCTGGGTTAGAACTCTCCTTATACATATATCTACTATCATTCAAGCACATGTTAAAGTTGATAATCTTCGTTTAAAGTGAGGTCAATGGGCGAGAATCAATGATAACCTTGTTCCAGGCTTCCTGATTCTTACTTTGGATTATCTACATTTTACAATTGGTGTATACCAAATGAATCTTGCTCCTTCATGTATCCAGGACACATTCGAAAAGGAGAGAGTTGGAGAATTACAGATTATCTACATTTTACAATTGGTGTATACCAAATGAATCTTGCTCCTTCATGTATCCAGGACACATTCGAAAAGGAGAGTTGGAGAATTACAGATAGATCAAGCATTTGCTGAACCAGGTTTCATTCAATCAAGGATATATTCCAAGTTTTATCATGCGATGAAATATCAGGTTTTTATCGCGTACATAAGTGAGAATATTAGTGAAGATGAAGAGCCGATAAGTGGGTATTACTGCACCTGCCAGTCCGGAACTCGAACCTTAGGAACTTGAGCTCACGTTGCCAGTATTGTGTGGTACCCGGATTACACTCGGCATCAACCTAACGTCAAATATCCGGATAATAGTTTACTTAATGCAATAGGGAATGCAAATAATGCAATTAAAGAAAACGAAGGCTAAGATCTTGTGAATTGAGAGGAAAAGAGGGTTGCGCGCGCGCGCGTACGCACACACACACACACACACACAATAAAGAGGGTTAGCCGTCAAATACTACGGGAGTGACGAACCATAAGAGTTTTATCTTTATTGACACGCCAACACGCACGCGCACATGCACACACACGCACGCGCACACACACACACACACACACACAAGAGATCAAACATTCATTACATCCACGCCGTTGATCCTGGGTAGCGTTGAGGAAGGATATTGCATGACACACAGCACATACGTATCGATAAGAATTCAGAACAAGAGGACTTTGAGCCTCTGTAGCTCTAAAACGACTCATAGGATCGGGTTGCGCCCATGACAACTTTTGATCAGTATGACTCACAGTACCAAATGGCATAGTTTTATCGGCCGAAACCGAATTTTCTCATGTTTTGTGCGGGCTTTTTATCATATTAAGGAAGCTGCCCATTCGGGGGAGCTTTCAAAATATTTACACTGATCTCTTTGCAGAAATCAAAGAAATGCATTATGAAATTGTATTGGCCAGAGCCGGAAGCAGGGGGAAATTATTTTATTATTTACGTCCGGTTTTTTCTCCCGCCTCTGGTTCAGTGGGCTTAGTCTTGGTTATCAAGAGATTGCGACAGTCTGCAGAATCCGCTCTAATCACTTAAATTATATTATACAATTTAAATTATAGCTTTTTCAGATATGATATTGTGGACTTTCCTACATGTGACTGTAGTGCACTCAGACAGTATATTGACCATATCCTTTGGTCCTACCCGCTCCTAAGTGATCGTCGTTCTAATCTAGTAAATTCTTTGCGCAGACGTGAGAATCTATCTTCCCCTGGTGACGTGTTTTCGCTCCTTGAATCGCCGTGTCCGAGAATCGTTACAACTATCTGCTTATTTCTTGAAAAGTGTAACTTTCATGTTTGATGTGACGTGTGAATGTAATTCTGGACTTTATTTTACCGAAGATTATCTAGCAGCATGGGCTTCTATTAAATCAAACCCAATGCCAACCAAGAAGTTCGTTCGCGATTCGCACGGAGCACAAGCTCCTTCTTGAATAAAAGATTCAACTTTTCCTGTTTGTCCGTGTTTCACTATACCGAAACCCTTTTGAGATTCAGCACTATGTCAAGTCTCATCGTCCTAATCGAAATAACCCCAGTCACAGGGTAACTTTCAGTATAACTTCCGTTACATTTCCAAGGTGGCTCGGAACTTCGTCGCCTTCAATCACAGTGGAATTGTATGGATTTTTAGACGCGTCTCAAACCGCGCTTAGTGTCATAATTTATTATACATAATTATACGTGTCGTCGACGAGTTTCCACATGTACGGTTGACCCTTATTAGTCACCGCGAAAAGCAAGATCGCACCGCTTAAGACTATTCCGCGAATTATACGTTGTCGTTCTGCTCGGTCGCCTTGCCTTCCACATTCGAACCACACTTTGAAGAATGCACCGATATATTTATGGTTCGACTCAACGGTCACGCTTACGTGGATCAAGGGACATCCTTTTCGATAAAAGAACATTATCGCAAATCACGTCGCACTCATTCACAAACTCGCGCCGTCAGCTCACGTCGCGGAAAATGAGAATCCCGCTGACTGTGCATCTCACGCCTGCCGCTAAAAGTTCTTCAAAGTTATCAATTCTAATGAATTGGACCTCACTAGCTTTGTCAGCCATCGACAGCTTGGTTCTCGACGACAATTCCACTCAATTCAGAGAACGATCTAGAGAAACGACCGTCTCGAGCGACTCTTACGTCTTAACAACGTCCATGTCATGGAATCTCGTTAATCGTTATTCAACTAGAAGTCATCATTTTGGACAAAATATTTAATAATTACATTAAATTGATTACTGTAAAGCAATAAAGAAGATAAATCTAAATTATTTCGATATTATTCATTTCTATAGTTCAAAATTTTTAAAAACAATCTCTTCAAGGAAGCGTTTGCGAGCAAACTTTCAGATAAAATATTTGTTTGTTTTGAGGTCCTAAATTCTCTCGTATTTGAAGTTTGGCTATTTAACGCGGAAACACCCTGTATATATAACTACTTTATTAATTTAATTTAATTATATTAATTATATTAATTGGTATTGCGCTGAAGGTGGCCTCAACCCTTGGCCGAAACGTTCACATTGTCTGAATTGTAAGATTATATTGTGCATTAAAATCCTGCAAACGGTCCTTAAAGGTTTTAAATTAATTGTTTATACGTTGAAAAAAATTTGTTAAATTAACAAATATTTAGTTGAATACGTTCAAATAAATCATTTATTTCAAACAAATAAATATTTATTTGTTTCAGTGACTAAAACGCTCTTATCGTAATAACAAGGATAGAGAATGTATCGCTGTGAAGAGCCAACCAAATACTTAGCAATTCGCTAACAAGGAACAATCTCTAAATTGAAATTTGAATTTCTCTTTCCCCCCCCCCCCCCCCCCCCCCCCAAATTGATGTAGACGAGAAAAATATATCGAAAATGTCGGCTGAATCAGGAATCAAACCCGAGACCTTCCGCTTACCGGGCGACTGCTCTTTCCAACTGAACTATTCAGTCACCTTAACGAACCAATATACCTCTCTCGTCTCTATGTATACTAATGAAAACACGCATATTTACAGCCAGCGTGTGAAAATAATAATATGGCTAGAACGCTTTTATCATAATAACAAGGATAGAGAATGTATCGCTGTGAAGAGAATTAGTATACATAGAGACGAGAGAGCTATATCGTTCGTTAAAGCGTTAAGGTGTCTGAATAGCTCAGGAAAGAGCAGTCGCTCGGTAAGCGGAAGGTCTCGGGTTCGATTCCCGATTCAACCGACTTTTTCGGACCGATATATTTTTCTCGTCTACATCAATTTAGGAGGGGTAAAAGAAAGAGAAATTCACATCTCAATTTAGAGATTGTTCCTTGTCTTAGCGAATTGCTAAGTATTTGGTTGGCTCTTCACAGCGATACATTTTCTATCCTTGTAAATATTTGTAAATTTAACAAACTTTTTTTTCAGTTTATAATATTAGAACCTAGAAATTATATTGAATTATTGATTATTAATTAAAGTACGCCCGCGCCCACACACGCGCATGCACGCACGCACGCGTACACAAAAATGTCTATATGCGTACGTGTGTAAATATTGCCGATACATTTAAAGATTAATAAAAAATAATAAACTAAGTATTTTGAAAACGTTAGCTAAAACAATAAATAATCACAATATTAATAATAATATTGAATATTAATTTTGTTTATATAAATCATAAAATTTATTTTTCTTATTTACAAGCGATTTAACTCAAAATTTCCATTTATACATATTTTATTAATATACAAATAATAACAGGAATTGTATTTTATCTTATCATGACACATAAAAATAATATCTGTCAATATTAAATAGTACAAAGTTTTGATGAGCAAATCTTGAAAAAGAAGGCATTGAGACTTTAATATTGCAACGTCTTACTTAAAACCAGCCAAACTAAAGTAATTGTTTTAATAATTACATTTTAATGAATAAAAGTGATCTTTAAATTTATCGAAAAAAGCAAAAACTTTAATCATTATCTTTTTATTCAGATAAAAAAATTATCTAAATGACACATTAATTATTGACAATAAACTTTGGTTTAAGATTTTCTTTACAAATTCTAATGTAGAGTGCAAATATTTTCAACATAACATATTACAAGAGAGATGTTAGCTTGTAGAAATTATAAATTTTGTGTAAACATACAATGGAAATACTCAAAAGTATTGTCACTTATGATATTCAAAATTAATTGTCTATGGCTAAGTTAACAGATGAATTCCTACTGTCAGGAGATTGCATCGCGATGTAGCGTCTGCGTAAAATTTCCTGCAAATCATTGCATGGACTGTTCTCACGCTTAACCCGTATAGAATGACCACCTGGAGATCTGTGAAAGATCGATGTAATATTTTATTTTATTCCATTGTATAAAAGTTAAAGCTCTTAGATCTTTATAGCTATATTAAATTATATTTGAAATTAGAAACGGAATACATTTTTTCTCTAGCATTAAATATTTGTAATAAATTATTTTCAATTTAACTCATATCTATGAATATAATTTATGTTCGATAAATATAAATTGATCAATCAAGTCAAAACTACCTTATTAGATGTCTATTATTATTAAATTAGGATATAATTTAATCTATATACCTTAAGTTTCTGACAATTTTATGACAAAATTAAAGTAGAAAGTTCTAATATTAAATATACACAAGCAAGGAATAATTAACAGCTAAGTGCAGTAAGTACGCAAATTATTTGTTCAAATCATTCTTTCTTCTCAAATATTACTTATTGTGCACGTTTCGATTTTAATTTTGGATTATCAACAACTTATCAGCAATCTAATTTTATGATGTACCTTTCACATGTAAAATTTAATTTATATTAAGTATTGTTTTATTTATTTTATATGTAAATTTGAGTCTATAATTCATGCTTTATAAGATTCATTTTATCTGTATTTAATAATTATTAATATGACCTAGTTTACATCGAGCATTTGATACACATATCAAGTAGTGTATATGAGTTCAGCCAATAATTGAAACAATTTACTAGTTATTTATTATTTGATACACGTATTAAATGATCGATGAAACTAGGTCATATTGGTTCGAAATTGGGACCAAAATGTATACAATAAATATTTGACAAGAAAGAAAAAATTGCATATCGTTTACCGTTTTTGACTCTTAATTTCTCCCTTATGACAACATTTTAAGACAATAATTTTTAATCAAATTTTTATAGCTATTTATTAATTTATGAACTTAAAAATCTTTGGTACATAAGTTTATTCTATCTAATAAGTTATAATTTATTTTAAATGTTTCATAGCAAGGAGAAAATTTACACATTATCTCTTATCTTGATATCATAATGTAATGCTACATTAAATTGTCATACAATCAAAATACTACCTCGCAATTGGTCTCAATTTTATATTGTCGATATCTTTAAGTATATCGTCTGTTGATTTCTGTGCACTCAGTGGAATTTTTTTGCGCTCCTCAATTTTATGATCTTGCAAACTAGCTCTTCTCGCGATATGGGGTGTTGTGGGTGGTGGAAGAGGTGGAGGTGGTGGTGGTACTGGCGAAGATTTTCCTTTGTCCGCTCCATTAGGTAAAGATGTAACAGATGCGTCTACATATAAAACATATAAATCTCATTTTTAAATCATTTTAATTACTCCGAATACTATATATATATATATATATATATATATATATATATACAATATATAATATTATTTAACAGTGTGTATGAACGTGTGCGCGCGTGCGTGCGTATGAGCGTGTGCGTGTGTGTATTTTTGTACGTACATTTAGACAGTTTATTATTTTTCACAATTGTTGAGATTTGTTCTCTAAGTTCTTGCAATTCTTGTTCCAACGCAAGCAATCTTACTTCGGATCCAAAACTAATTGGTTCTAATAGATCTGGTCTGCTGCCGGAAAGCCTATTATTAAATTGCAAAATAACAATAAGATTGCAAATATTAATATTGCAATAGACATACATGCGCACACACATACAAATTCCAATTAGATGCCGCTGTCTGTATAATTTGTAGTTGATTCTAAGTGAGAAAAACAAAAAGCAAGGATTCGAAGATTTTGTATAATCTTATATTTTATAAACAATTTAAACAATACTTATCAAACAAAAACTTTTCTGCAAAAATTATAAATTTAAAACAAAATTATAAACAATATTAAGAATATTAAGAATATTTTATTCGCTCACAAAATTAAAAATTTGAAACAAAATAAAATTTTATAATAAAAACTAAACTTCCTATTTTAAAATAGGGTGGAGTTCCGAATAGGTGAACCCTCCGATTTTTTTGAAACTACACTATTTTTTATATTTTTGAACGCTGATTACAAATATGATAATGAAAATTTGCGACAGGTCATTTTCAAGGTCAAAACTCAAAAAAACTGAAAAAATATAACTTTTTAGATCTTATTTCAATAAATATTGATGTAACAAAAAAAATGTTTCAAATAAAAGTTGCAGTTCTTATAAAAATACATCATTTATACATTTTTTGCGTAAAACTGATAGTTTTCGAGAAAATCGATATTAAAGACCAAAAACGGCGGGTAAAGTTCCGAAAAGTGCTCACCTCTGATTTTTTGGAACTCAGTATTCTTACGTATTTTGATGTGCTGATTACGAATATCATAGCAAAAATTAGCGCATCTCTCATTTTCATAGTGAAAATTATGAAAAACCCATAAAATTTATAGTTTTTAACGTTTATCTCAGTAAATACGAAAAATCATGATAAATATTTTAGACAAAAGTTTTAGATCTTACAGAGAAAAACATTTATGTCCTATTAATTTTTACCGTACAAATGAGTTTTCAACAAAAACGATGGAATCTAAATCTTATATCTGTTCTCCCTTCTAAGCATGTACTTTGCAGTACATATACGATTCCACATGGGTTTACAACTTTCCACGTAAAACGAGGTTCCACGCACACCTATTTTTCTAGTTTTTCAGTAGTGGAGCCTCCCGGAAGAGGCGGAACCCACTGTTTCCACGCATACACTTTTCCACGCGAAGCGAGGTTCCACATGGATTTGCAACTTTCCACACAGAGCAAGGTTCCACGCAAATCTATTTGTCTAGTTTTTCTAGTCTAGTTGACTCCAGGTTTGGCTGAGAACGAAGAATATATATTGATGTTTGAGAGGGTTTTTCTTATCTAATTTTTTCGAAAACAATCAGTTTTACGCAAAAAATGTATAGAACATAAATGATGTATTTTTATAAGAACTGCAACTTTTATTTGAAATATGTTTTTGTTACATCAATATTGAAATAAGGTCTAAAAAGTTATATTTTTTCAGTTTTTTGAGTTTTGACCTTGAAAATGACCTTGTCGCAAATTTTCATTATCATTAAAAAGAATAAGAAAAAATAAAAATTCCAAATTTTTAAATATAAAGATGTATAAATTTATAAAATTAATAAGCTCGTTTAAATATAAATATAAAAAAGGAAGGAATACTATAAGAAACAAAGGCCAACTAACGAGCAAACCAAATTATGATATCACATTAATAAAATATTAAAACATTTATTAATCTTAATAAAACTTAAATAAAACTGAATTTAAATTACATGTATATATACGTTTTGACTGCACGGCAGTCTTTCTCAATATAATATAATGTTAATAGTTAATATAAATTTACATTGAACCTCAGATTTGGTCAAAATATATTTAATTTTCTATCGATAAATTAACGCAGATTTCTAATACGCCTATACTCTCGCTTTTACAATTGTCCTTTTAGATTTTTCAGTGATGTTAGATTGCAGAAGCCATTAGTGTCTACTCTTTCGTTGTCCATCTTTTTATTATTGAATTTTTTCGAATTATAATCACAGGAGTTGATAAAAGTTCCCTATTGTTAAATTGTTAATATGAAGTAGCTATCATATACATGTGAGTCATATCATAAATTATCATAAAAAGCAAGTACTTACATAATTTATTCTGGCTATCAAAATATATTATGCTATGAGGATATGAAAGAGTGGGTAAGAGAAGGAAAGGAGAGAACGGCTTGGGAGGAAGAGAGGGCAAAATTTTTTAAAGAAAGGGGAATAGAAGGGAAGGAGATGGAAGAAAAAAGAGAAAGGGGAGAGGAAGTATACGAGGGATGGGAGCAGAAAAACAGAGAAATGCAAAAGGAGGAAAGATGGGAGAAGATAAGAGAGTCGAGGTATAATAAATGGTATGGAGAATGGAAGGAGGAGGGTTTACCGGAATATTTGAGAAAGAGATGGGGGGAAAGTAGATGGAGAAGGATAGTGAGGTTTAGAATGAACAACGAAATGAGAGGGGCGAGATACTGGGAAGAAGAGGAGAAAAGAAGATGTAGACTATGTAGGATGGAAGATGAAACTTGGGAACATGTAATAGGAGAATGTGGGGGAGAGGGGAATAAGGGGAATTGGTGGGAAAGAATGAGGGAAATACTGCAAGAAGGAAGAGAGGGGGAAGGATGGATGAGGGAATTAGAGAAAAAGAGAGAGGAAGGGAGAACGGAAGGGGAGAAGGAAGGAAGGGAAGAGGGGGAAGAAGGTATGAGGAAGAGGATGAATGAAAGTATATATAAATGAGGTGTTGGAGAATGTATGGGGAACTGGAAGCCGAGGCGAAGCGAAATAATAGATTAGGGACAACTCTTTCTCTCTCTTATTTAGTAGATAGGTAGATTAAGTTAGAATTAAGGTATTTGTAAGATAAATGTAAGAGTAGTTTGTAAGATAATATTGTAAAGGTTTGTAAGGTTTGGGTACGCTCCTTAAAAGCGCCTTTAATCCCTAAGGGGGCAAATAAAGTAATGAATGAATGAATTATGTAATTTCTTAAATGGAACACTATTTTTTATTGCACATTCTTGTAGCTGATTTCGAGAGCTTTCCAAAACACTAATAATCAAATGTTTCTTCGTAAAGTACTTTTCGAGTTATAAAGCTTTAAAGCAGTATTTTGACCTAAAAATACGATATCTTGTATGTTGTAACGTTATGTGGTTAAGTTGACTCCTAGGGATTCCGAAGACAAATCAACTTTTCACCCAAATATTTGTAGCAAGGGGACTCACGTTAATCAAGCACCCCAAAAGAAACAAAATTCTACTACGTCCACGTCGCTGTTCCTGGATAGCGCTAAAAGTAGGATGATTCGAATTTTTTTATGCGTAACATGCATAACCATGAGGAATATAAAATATTTAATTATAAGTTATTTATATATATATATACAGGGTTTGTCCGGAAAGTAATGCGTCGCATTTTTTGGTGACGCGACTATACATCGCAGAGCGATGGGACCGGTTGGGGAGGAAGGGGGGTACCCTTAGCTTTCCAACGGTAGGTCGCTCAATTGTTTCCATGCGCTTGGAGGGTTAGGACGGCTTATTCTGTGAACCTCTGCTTAGTGGTCGCGTCGAACTTGTGATGGAGAGAACGATAGAGCAACGCTATGCGATAAAGTTTGTTATTACGGCCTACCTGACCCGGATCGGTGTGGCAACGGTGCCGCAGCCGCCCTACAGTCCCGACTTGGCCCCGGCGGACTTTTTTTTATTTCCTCGGCTGAAAAGGGAGCTCAAAGGACAACAGCTCGAGTCGGTTGACAACGTACAAGCTACTTCGACGGCCTCCCTGAACAGCATCCCAGTCAAGGAGTTCCAGAAATCTTATGACGCATGGAAATCGCGTTGGCAAAAATGTATTGACGCAGAAGGGTCATACTTCGAACAATTTTAAGTTGTTTTACCTATGCGATCAATAAATTCTTTTTTAAAAAAATGCGACGCATTACTTTCCGGACAAACCCTGTATATATATATCATATTTATTTTTTAATCAACATATAATATAAATATAAGAGTTTAACACGGCTCTGTAATATAAATATAAATTTTTAAAGTGTAAGACAGGCAATAAGAGCCATTCGCGGAAGACAGTGCGTTATCCTAACAATACTAAATTTTCTCGTTAGAATTAAAATATCTTGTGCACAGGGCACCAAACCCTACTTGGCCACGGCCAAGATTTCCCGATTCAGCGACTTTCGGATCTATATTTTTCTCTTGCATTTATTTATTTTCCGTAGGGGTGTTATAGGATTATTGAAATTAAATCTCAAAAATGAGATTGTTTCATATTTTAAATCTTGGCCGTGGCCAAGTAGGGTTTGGTGCCCTGTGCACAAGATATTTTAATTCTGACGAGAAAATTTAGTATCGTTAGGATAACGCACTGTCTTCCGCGAATGGCTCTTATTGCCTGTCTTACACTTTAAAAATTTATATTTATAATATAAATGTTTATTAAATTTTAAAATTATTTAAATATATATTAATAAAAAAATAAATCAATTAAATAAATATGATAAGTTAGTAAATGAGGTAGGAAATATCATATTTATTTTTTAATCAATATATTATATAATAAAAATGTTTATTAAATTTAATAATTATTTAAATTATATATTGATTAAAAAATAAATCAATTAGATAAATATGATAAATTAGTGAATAATAGAAAATAATTTTTTTAAAATAAATTTATTGTTAAAATTTGAATATAAATAAATTTTTATAAAAATATATATATTTTTAAAAAATTTAAATAATTTTAAATAATTTATATTATTATTTAAAATAATTATTTTAATGAAAATTATAATAGATATTTTTATTTATATTATTAATAAATTTAGGTGCCAGCAATTTCGGTTAAACTGATGATAAGAATAAATAATCTATAATAACTTAAAGTTATAAAAGGAGAATTTTGGATAAGTTAAGTTTTTTTAAAATTGTATTTATAGTAAAATGTAATAATTTTAATTAATAAAAGAATTTGATTCCAAAAAATTATTTTTAATTAAATTTAAAAAGAAATTAGGATTAGATAC